ACGACATATTGGACAAACAGCATTATGTCCTGTTGATAACTGAATCATACAGTTGTGGCATATCCAAGCATGTCCACATGTAAGAACTATATATTTTGTTTCATTGTATCCCAATGTTCTCTAAATACACACCATACATAATGACCTATTTTCTGCAGCTCGTGGATCATTATTAGCATCTAAAGGCAATTCGGCTACTTCCCTCTCCTGTGGTACTGGCATAGGAATGTTATCCATTGGCTCATGTAGCATAACCAATGGTATATTTATTTGTGGATCATCTAAAATTAGTTCCTCTGCATCTTCGACATTATTTAGGTCCCAATTTCTTTGTCTTTGTTCATTTGCAGCACTTGCATAAGAACAGCGTTGAAGGAATTGCCTAATAGATATTAGGCCTAAATCTAACTGCTCAGAAGCAGTTTTTATTTTTCTTGAATTTACCAAAAACTTAATCCGTAAATGCCTTGTTGGAACTAAGTTATTGTTGAGTTGATGTACGATGACGTGGTAATTTTTGTTCAAGTGAGTTAAATGGTCTGAAATAAATAAATTAAAAGCATCATTTTATACCTACATTTTATCAGACTGATGAAATTTAACATAATTTAATATAGGTAACTAATTCAATCACTATACATAACTCCTCTCACCCAAAAATATCCATAAACTTGGGTGGTTAACTGAAAATTTCATTCTTAAAGCGTTGTGAAAGCTTTCTATATTGTTGTTGGTTCTGGTAGTCCATTCATTTTAACGATTTTTGTAAATTTTTGAATTTCTATACAGGATGTCAGCTCATTATTTGTTTTCTCTCTCTGGCCCACGCGTTACATGGACCAACCGCGTTTACACGGAATCATTTTTTCTATGTTTTTTAGTAATCTTAGAGTAAAATCACCCATAAAAAAAAGTTGGAGATTAATATTTTTGAGTCAATGACATATTGAGTTTATATTTTATTGGTATATGACTACGTATTCGAATTTCAAAATAAACAAAAAAATGTTATACATTTAAATGATGTTTAAATTGTTTTGAGACAAATATTTAGACAAATCGAGTCATTCCCTCAAACATCATAATCTCTATATTTTTGGTAATGGGTGATTTTACTCTAAGATTACTTAAAAACATAGAAAAAATGATTCTGCGTAAATTCGTTTTGTCTGTGTTGCACGTAGGCCGAAGAGAGAAAACAGATGGTGCGCTGACATCCTCTTAATTCATTGCTAATGACGCTATTTCGTTCAAAAATTTCCCTTTTTAGAACCACTGGTTTAAATATAAGATTTTGACGGCATTAAATATTATATTCTTCGTTAAATGGTTTACGAAAGTAAATAAGAAAAAAAGATGGTCAAGTGGGTGTTGCTCTGTTGTTACAAGTGAGTCACTGCAATGGATTGTGTTAAATTTGAATCCAATGATACAATATCATTGTATAAGAAAAACGATTCTGAGCGAAGACGGTCAGTCAATCCATAATACCATAGTAAATGTATTTTTGGTGGTATTACATTGTGAATGAAGTAATTAATTTTAGTATTAGGCATTACTGCATTAGTAAAATTTATTTCAAGAATATTTAGTACAACTTCTCGTGATTATTTTGATACCAAAACCATGTTTCTACGATCAACGAGGCCTGAGAACTATGTTTTTGGCATGTTTTATGTTTCATGTACTGCTAGGACGACTACAGCGGCAGCAGCGTTCTGAAATAGTACTTCTACCACCACCCCGCGTGCATATGCAGCTGTACTGCACCATAAGTCAAAACTGGTTGTCTATAGCAGCCACGCACGGATTATAAATAGCCAAATCCGTCGATACGAAAATAATAATTCTGTCAAAGTGTCAATGAATAATATTATTTTATATTTCGATGTTATAATTAGTATTCCTACTACTAGCGTAGTTTACGCAAAATGGAACTACACAATAGTATATCCTAAAATTGTCACAAATCAGCTGGAAAACGTACGATTTAAATAATTTTTTTTTTGCATTTATAGACGATTCTTCTATCAAATTAGCGATTTGATATTCAAGACGAATTTTTTTATATTTAAATTAGCATAATAAAAACCGTCCAAAAAGAAGCAAAACACTTCTATAAGCGTTTTCATGATCGTCTCATAGCCCACACAAGTCAATTAATCCGTGAATTAGCATCAATCGAAATTCCAGATAATCCTCACCAACAATTAAAAAGAAAATGGTGCAGAGATCTCCTAAACAACTAAAAAACGATGGTTAAATAAGTAGTTATAAAAAAAAAATTAATAGGAAGTTTCCCTACTTGGTGGCTTCTTCCAACAACTCATTCATGTCATTGTAATGTAGCCCGTATTCATATTGTGCCCCAGGGTACAGATTGTATATTGCATATTCCAAATTGAAATAAAAATAAATTAAACAATTATCATAACTGTTTGATTAAAAAAAGGTAGGCAAGTGGGTGTCGCTCTATTGTACAGGTGGTCTATTGTACAAGTGAGCCATTATAATTGTATTAAATTAAAATCCGATGATATAATATCATTGCAAAAGGAAAACGAATCTGAGCTAAGATGGGAGTCAGCCTATGATAATTATATTTTTAACTACAAAATAATTTAAAATTTGACGATTTGAAAATTTTTTTCAAAATTCGAATGTTAAATAAAATTTTAAAAAAATTGACCTACATGGTATGTACAATAATACATTTATTAATATATTTTTCAATTGCTATTGTAACAATATATATCAGACACCTTGTATTAAATTGTCACGCTTCTTGATCCAACAAATTTAATAACAAATTGATAAAAGAAAAAAAGAAAAAATAATTGAAAATGTCCGTAAACAGCTCAGAAAAAGTGAAAGTGTTATAGGAATTGATAAAAAATATATAATATGGTGTAAATTATTAAAATTATAAACAGCTATTCATTTTTTTAATTACAGCAAAATAAGATAAATGATAAATGGTATATGATTGTGTAAATAATGAATGTCCTACGTTGTAAAAATTTGAAATTCAGATGCTCATAAAAATTCAATTTGACTTTCCAGTAGATATATTTTTTCCATAAATTAGACAAACTTATGAGGAACTTTGTTTTTTATTTTCAAATGTTACATTTAAAAAGAAAAAATCTAAATTATTGTTATGAATTTCTAACATAAAATAATTTGTAAATTTTCTTCATTTTTGGAATGAAACATATTTAGAACATATTTTGTTATTTTCTATCAAACACAATTTGCCAATGCCTCATACAGTCATACATATAACAATCATTTCATCTTATTTACAAATATATTTAATCAATATTACGAATCACGTTATTTATTAATTTATATTGTATTCGAAGTATCTAGCTCCTATACTCATTCATTGATAGCTAGATGACTTAGTATATAGTATTTTTAATTAAGTCATTAGTATGAAATACGCAGTTTAGGTTATATAATGTAATAATTACAGAGACTATACTCGACTATAAAAAGTATCCACCAATGTAAAATTTGAAAAAAAATCCTCGTAAGTTCGTCTAATTTTATAAAAATCGACGTCTGAAATTCAAATTTTTACAACATTGAATATTCACTCCATTTCTCACGTAGCGATTTTCTTATTTTTACTATAGGTAATTCAAAAACGAACAATTTTAAATACTTACAAATTTCACTAAATGTTTTTATTTTCATTTTCCAAGCACAATACAAATTTAAAATACTTTGACTCGTTTTGAGCTGTTTTTTTTTAGTTTTTTCGTTTATAAATGTTTATAAAATTGTATTCGTTGGGTCAAAAAATCTTGCGAATTTAATACAAGACTCCTTATATATTGTAACAATACCTACCTATTAAAAATAAAATGTAAATTTTTTTTTTATTAGCATTTAAAGTTCGATTTTTTTACAAAGGACGTAAAAACCACGAAAATGTGCAAATTATTTTGAATTAGAAATTCATGAAAATTTTAATTTTAAAATCTAACATTTGAAATTTTAATATAAGATTCCTTATAAGTTTTTATCAAAACTAAAATCTCTACCGAAAAATTAAATTAATTAAGCGTTTTTGTAGCTCAAATTTTTACGACATTCAGTTGATTTCTAAAACAAATAACCTTAGACATTATTGAAATGTATACCATATGTCCATATGTATTATATATATTTTATCAATTCCTATACTTGGTACTTACTCTGAGTTCTAAATTATCATTGATTATTACATGATTAATTATCAATAATTATTATAAATTATTCATACATAGAAGTAAGGCTCTTCGTAATACCAACATGCAACATAAAAAGAAGTCCTTATGATGTACCTATGATTTATTTGGCGGCTCATTGACGATAGTATTTCACATACAATGAGATTTCTAAATGCAATATTTCTAAATGGAAGACATTGAATCAAATCTACTGTATTAAGTAACCTTACCTGAGGAGGTTCTTTTTGCGGTGAATTGTCCTAGACATTTAATTTCATATGAAATAATGTACCTGACTTTTAATAACACATTATAAAAGTGCAAATAAAAANAATACAAGTTTAGTCAACTAAAATTTGTCCAAGTATAGATCTTAGACGAAGACTACGACATGGGAATAGTTCTACATGGAATTAATATGTTTATTATTTAAAATACAAAACAATTTATGAAATAAAGTGTTATACCATACAGCAATATATTTTTTTTTTTATTGATCTTAAATACATCGACATCTAGGTCATTAGTACAAAGTGTTAGATTACATGGTAATAACAATAAGTTACATGATTTTTTAAATTAGTTTATACAATTCGGATTTTTTAATGAATAGAATTAAATTGTTTGTGTCCTGTGGGTTTGGTCCAAGTGCTTGGCAGATTTGATCGGAGATGTGGAATTGGTCGCGGTAGTGGTTGTATTTATGGCATTCGGTGATGATGTGTTTTACCGTTAGAAGGACTCTGCATGTGTCGCATTCTGGAGGTTCTTCATTGTTCATTAGGTAGCTGTTAGGTGTGTATGTCCTATTCGAAGTCTATTGATTGTGGTTTCTTCTTTTCTGTTAAGACCGAGGTTTTTCCATGGGTTGATATTATTTTTGATTTGATTGAGTTTAGTATTTAATTTTCTCCGGTGAGAGAGGAATTTATTATTTATATAGGCGTTGATTTCGATCTTCGCATTAGCGAATGTGATGGAATTTATATTTGTGGTTGATGTGGAGACGATAGCGTTTTGGGCTTCTTGGTCAGCTATTTCGTAACCTGGGATGCCAATGTGACCAGGAATCCATACAAAAGGGATTTTTTTCCCTTTTTTACCGGCCTGGAAGGTTTCTTCTTGAATGAGCTTTGTGATATCAGGCGGGTTACTTGTATTTGAGATTGCTATTAGGTTGCTTAGTGAGTCGCTAAGTATCGTACAATTTGTTACGGAGCTTACGTTTTCTGTGTGGAAATATTTTACTGCTTTGTATATTGCAATCCCTTCTGCTATGAATATTGAGGCTTGGGGAGGTAGTTTGTATGTTCTTTTTTTATTTTTAACTATTATTGCGAGCCCGACTCCAGTGTTGGTTTTAGAGGCGTCAGTGTAGATTTGAACACTGTTTGGATGTTCTTGCAGTATATTTTGGAGCATATTTTTGTATATGGCAGGCATTGTGTTTTCTTTTTTGTAACTAGTTAGTGTGAGGTTGACGTTGAATATTGTGTTCCATGGGGGAAGATTATAAGGTTTTCTTTCTAGAATATTATTTATTTTTATATTTTCTTTTACAGCTTCTTGTATATATGTTTTTGTTGTTTCGATGGCTGGATTGTTTGTATTTCTTTTGGTTCTGGCACAATATAATAAGAGAAGTTTTTTTCTTCTGAGATTAGGCGGAATTTCGTTAGCAATGTTTCTAATGCTTTCAATTGGGCTGGATTTAAATCCTCCGATTGATAATCTTAAGGCAGTATTAAGTTTAGTTTGGATCATATTTAAGTGAGAGGAATTAGCGTTGTTGAGTAATATTGAGCCGTAGTCTGTTTTGGATCTAATGAATTATTTATTATGTAAAATATAAAATAACCAATAGATCGCGCGAGGCTTATACATTTTTTTTCGGGAGAACATAGTCTAGTGATAGTGCTATACGGTTAATTACTTTCTGGATTTCTACGGTCCGTTACAATACGGTTCGATTATTTTTAAATTCCGGAATTATACGGTCCGGCATATTACGGGTTGTGTGATTATTTTTTCCGGATTTCTACGGTCCGGGATTATACAGTCTTTGTATTTATTCTCTCCGGGAGTATACATTCCGGATTTATACGGTCCGTGACAATACGGTTCGATTATTTTTGAATTCCGGAATTATACGGTCCGGCATAATACGGTCCGAAAAATATTTAATTCCGGAGTTCTACGGTCCGGGACTATACAGTCTTTGTATTTATTCTTTCCGGGATTATACATGCGTCCATTTATTTGATATAAATATCTAATTTACTGTTGTATGGTGTATAAATATTGAAATAATTTTGTCGTTAATGAATAGTGACGGTCATTTACAACTGATGGTTAACATGAATAATACAAACTTTATGCTTATAATATAACCTATGTTTAGATGTCAACATATATATACAACTATGGTACTGGCGGAGGAGGATTGGGTGGCGGCGGAGGAGGATGAGGAGGAGGAGGCAAAAGAGGCCGTGGCGGTGGTGGCCATAAGGGCCGTGGTGCGAAACCCTATATCAACAGAAACAGTAAGTATCTTTTATACCTACTTACTTATTTGTTTTTATGGATGAGTTGTATCTACGTAGATGTAATATTCAGGTGTATCAAACCTTACGCATGTAATGCACCACATCAACATTGACTAAACCATGTGTATACATTTTTTCTTTTATACTTAAGTGTCCAATGTTGATTAAGTTGTTCTTTATTGATTTGAACTATATGTATACATTTTGTTAATAACGTTCCCACACAGCAAACAAATATATTTAAAATATTTATTAAATATTCCAATTTTAATGACAATATTTAATAATCGTTTGTTATTCATTTGGTAAATAATTTAAAATATATAATAAAAGTCATATAAATATTTGTTGAACCAGAAACATTTATTGTTTAAATACCAAACACTAAACATTTATTAAACATTTGTAAACCAAAGTTGTAAAAATATTCTATTTTAACATTCCATAATTATTTATTGAAAGTCAATAAATGTTTTATAACAATTGCAATTACATTATAATATAATGATTATTGTAGTTATAATTGTGAGAAATTTATATATTATATTATACTCACTATTATTTGATTTTGTGAAGCATTTTTCTTATTAAATGGGGCTTGTGCCAGGTTATATTTTATTCTTTCTTCAATTTCATCAATTGATGCAGTTTTGCAAGATTTGTTGCTTTTTTTAATAGAATCTAAAAAGAAAATACCATTAATGTATTTTAATTTATTGTTATAAACATGTCATATATATACAATATGACATAAAATTTTAGTCTCGTTGAATCTATTTTTAATATAGGTAACAATAATGTAATAAAAAGATATTACAGGTGGTTTTTAAAAATTATTTGTATATTTTTCAATTCAATAATATTGCAGTTGTACAACTTATAAATATTAAGTATCTATAATACTGTGTTAATATTATTAACAAACTGCAATAAAATTGTAAGAGAATAGAATTAATTGATTACATTATATATAAATATGTATATGCATGTACATATACAATAGTATTCATATTAAGGGGTTTTGAATTATAATAAATAATTATACACAACTTACCAAAAATAACAGCACAAACAAACAAACTGCTGAATTTGTTTTTTCCTTTTTTTCCAGTAAACGAATATTGGGACATAAGTTTATCAGTAAATAATTTATTCATAATTCTTTTTACCATTAATTTTAAATTTTTTCCTCCCGTACAAGATAATTCATTAACCTAATAAAAAAAGTAATAAGTATATTATTATTTTTACTTTATCAGTAAGTGTAATTATTTAACTACCAATTTGTTACGAAAACATTTATCTTCAGATAATTTATCTTCAAGTTTATTAAGATCGAATATATTGTCAATTGGTAATGGACAATCTGTAAGGTCTTTGAATAGACTTTCTGATAATGTTTCTGAATTACTGAAGTTGTTGTCAGATGCTGCATTTTAAATTTTTTTAAGTATTTCTGCTTGTCCAGATTCCAATTATCGTACTTCACTTGTCAAGTATGTAAGCATACGTAATACCTGCTTTTGAAAATCTGAAAATATTAACAAAATAGTATAACATACTATTATAATACTTATAGTGTTAGTTTAAATCAAATAAAAAGTAATTTTATTTATAAAAGTATAAATTTAACGAAAAGTTATTGTCAAAATAAAAGATATTATTACACGTTTACATGTGCATATTGACTACAGTTAAATACAACATTATTGAATTTAGTTTTCAATTATTAATTTAAATCTATGGATGTTTATGGTTTTCAACTAAAATAAAATTACAATATAAAAACTAACATGTTCAACACAGTTTTTTAAGTTAATCTGTAGATTTCATTTTTAGAAATAGTAGACTGCGTTTTAAACTTTTTATTCATAAGTATTGATTTATCAATTACTAATGTATTTACTAAACAGTTTAATATAATACGTGTCAAAATATCATTAAAGATTATTAAAATTTAATAAGAAAAGCACATTTTATTACACTTAATTTTTCTTGTTGCCAATAAAGGTTCACTTTGACTAATATGTTTTTCAGCTACGACGACACCGCAGTTTGGACCATCCTGTTCTATGTAATAACTTTTTTTTTTTTGGAAAGAATTAGAATGTGAGAAGGATAACTCATACTCGTCAGGCCTATTGGAGTTTAACATTAATCCTGGCACTACAGAATGTTCATTGTCTGAAAAATACCAATATAACTTAAAATCTTCAAATTTGAACTATAGATATACAAACGCATTACCGTTAATTTTTAAATATTGTGGACCAAGTTATTGTTTACTACTTAATGAATCCAAATTTGCGGTTGGTGTATATGTGGATGATGGCTTTCTTTAAATATTGGCTCACTATTATCTGAATCTAGAACTGTATTACAGTTTAATATTATAATATATGTCGAAATATCATTACTAAAAAGATTATTAAAACTTAATAAGAAAAGCACATATTATTACATTTAACATTTCTTTTTGATAGTAAAGGTTCACTATGACTGTGCTCTTTTCCACTGTATAGTTTAAAAGTTGATGTAGAAGGTGTATCTTTGGATGACCATAGTTTTTTTAAATGGGGCTTTTTATTATTATCTACAATTCAAAAAAAATACATAATTACTAGTTATATGTAGCTAGTAATATAAAAATGGAACTATAATTACTATAACTAGAAAACTGGAACTAATTTATAAATATAGTACATTCAGTATAAAATTGTTGATAAAACAATATTACATTTCAATTAAGTTAAAATAAATAATATTACCTTTAACATTTTTATCCAGACTACCCAATTTAAATGGCGACCAACCGTTTTGCTTTTTATTTTTGCTATATTCAATGGTTTTAAGTGATTCACTTGTGACAGGTGGTGAATAGTTAGGTTCCTTATACTTCAATTTATTTACAGAATCTATGTTTATAATACAAACTACTTAGTTAAAAGTAATATCAATAATTATAATAAATATAGCAAGAATAAAAATTTTTTTTTTCAAAGCTGACAAAACAATAAATAGAAAAATATTTAGACATTAGTATATTCTTACCATCAATAACGGCTTCATGAGGATAATCATTTAATATTTTCGGCAATGGAGAACAACTACTAAAATGTTCATTATTATCAGAGCCAATCATAGTTGTACTAAACTTAGGTTTAGTGCTAGCTTTCTTAGATGATAGATCATTATCAGAATCTAAATTAAAATCAAATTTTCATAGTATTTTTATAGTAGTATATCATTAAAATTGATAAATTATAATTTTTATTAGTTCCTATAATAGGTACATTTATTATATTACCTGAAAACAATGGGCATGAATTTGTAGACAAAGTAGGAGAAGACATTATAATTTCTTTATGGCGTTTGTTAGCTGAAACTGTTTCTTCTGTAGATGATAAATCAGACATGTACATAGCTTTTTTAGATTTAGTTTTAGCTCCAACTAATGAATCTATAATGAAAACAGTATAATATAAGTACAATATATGCACAAATTAATTTATAGAAATAATATACAAAATAGACTAATTAAAAAATCTGATGAACCTGAAAAATTATTAGGTATCTTATTATATTTACCAATTCCTTTATATAATTCTCTGCATTTTAAATATGTATACTCAATCTCGTTAGGCATACATTTTTTTTCAATAAGCCGAGAAGCAGTTTTACTTTTGTAAGGCCAAGCACAAGTGCCATTTTTTTTGTCTATCCAATGCTCAGGAACAGTTTCAATAGAGTCGTCACTAAAAAAATGGGCAATTGAATATGGCATGATGATCGACTGGGCAATAAAATACACACAAGTTATCCTAGTGAAGTATATACAATAAACATTTATAATACAACTAAATTACTGTAACTGACAAAGTTATTCAAACTATTAAATAAATAAAACTGTTTTTAAATTATTTTATATTTTGAAAGCCTTAATTTTTAACTGTACAAAAATATATTTATATATAGGTATTATGATAGCCAATAGGAATGTATGTATTGTAAAAACATACTACCACACTAACTATTTAATGAATGTAGGATCCGAAGCGCAATTTGTTTGTTATTATTACTATTGAATACTGCATACTTTTGAAACAAGTGATCTATAGTAATAGGTACAATATTTTCAGATAAATTGGAAACATATGCAATCCCCAGTTTTAAACTACTTATTGGTTTGTCATATAAAGGTTCAATATTATTGAATGA